TTATTGCTTCAAAAAAGGATATGTATTAGCGTATGTTCTAAAACATGTATTTGGTTTTAAATCAATAGATTCGGATAATTTTTAATTTTCAATATTAATCTATACAACAGTACTTGAACCAATATAAATATTCAACCAAATGAAGCATTACAATAATAAAATAATATTGATATTATTTTAGAATAACCAAACGAGGCCCAAGTATCAAGCTATGGGGTGGGTTGAGAATGAGGTTACTAGTGGGTGGGTGGGTTGGACATCTATTAACTGTGAACTACAACTGATTCCATGAAACAAGCGTGAGCGTTACTGTGTTAAACCAAAAATCAGGAAAAACTGTTAGAAAAATAAAAGAAACTGGAAAAACAGAAGAGTTTAAGAAATATTCCGAGTTCACAGTTTTCTTGTGTGTCCTTAAGGAATTTTAACCCCCTCACACGTTGCCAAGGTAATGGATTAAATCCTCCCAGGATAAAACGGAATAAACCTTCCTGCAACAGTGGCAATACAAACTGCAAGATACCAACGAACTCAAAGAACGGAGCAAAATCACACTTACGAATTTGAGAGAGAGAGACTGCGAATTAGGATGCAGTATATTCAGAAAGAAAGAAGTTCCGGAGTGTTTTTCGTGTGTAGAAAATGGAGCCTTGCCTCAGAATTTATAGGCAATTATCAGAAGAGGTGTCTGAAAAAGGTGCCTTTTCAGAAGAATACGCTGCCTGCCGCGGTCGCGGCAGAACCGCGGCCAGAGAGGCCCTCTGAACCTTCAGCAGGGTTCTGGCGTATTTTCAGCAGTGATTTGGCATTTAATTAATTATTAAATAAATTTTATCCAAAAATAATCTTATCGATCGATCATTTGCCAAATCCAAATCCAAATCCAAAGCCGAGCCGAGCGAGCGAGCGAGCGACGGCGCGAGGGTTCATTCTCTTCAACTCCTTTTAAGAGCTTTAAGAAGTGATTCTATATATAAGCACACAAATGTGGTTGTCCCTCACCAATGAGGGACAAAGTGCAAGACAAAAGTTCACTTCTTCAAATTTTTAGTTTCCCTCCATTTCCAATTCACACTTCTTCTACTTTAAAGCCCAATGGCTTAAAGTCCAACAATCCCCCACATGAATGGGAATGGCTGTATCAAGAAAGATCATAGATGAAAGCTATGTGATTTTGCAAGTAAGGATTAATTGCATCTGGATAAGTAGGTTTCCCTTTGAACTTTCCGTAGTGAACATACGTCGGATATACTCGGTCAATCGGTAGATTTGATATCTTTGAACCGTCGAACTTTAGTGTATACCTAGACAACCATATGTCACACAACCAACCCTTAACCGTCTTTTGGTTCTCATTGTTGTGTTCGTTTTAGCCATGAACACCGCCTGGTTTCATAAGTGCGTAGAGAATTGGCCTTACAGAATTCTCATTGAAGCGGCTTCCACTTCACACTTACATAGGTGATTCCTAAACGTGTAATCCTTTAGATTGACACTATTTGATAAATACCTCATCAAACTTAGGTATCATTAAAGAACATGTAAAGTTCTATCCTTGTTACTGAACATTGTCTTCATCACGAGAATGGACCAAAGATTTTATTTTGACAATGTTGAACCGGTCAATCACAACTTTGTTTGAGCTCCTTGAACCTAGATCTCGGAACATCCAAAATTCTAGGTAGAGTTACCGCCATGTTGACTTGTCCTCGGCCATAGTCCCATTCCCTTAGATGATTTCTCAACTCCCTCTCTAGTTAAGCCTTTTGTAAGCGGATCCGCCACATTATCCTTTGATCTTACATAATTAATAGTGATATTCCACTAGAAAGTAGTTTTCTAACGGTGTTATGTCTTCGTTGTATATGACGAGACTTTCCGTTATACATAACACTCCCTGCCCGTTCTATTGCAGCCTCACTATCGCAATGTATGCAAATAGGAGCCAAAGGTTTTGGCCAGAACGGAATGTCTTCTAAAAAATTCTGAAGCCATTCAGCTTCTTCACCGGCTTTATCCAAAGCTATAAACTCTGATTCCATTGTAGAGCGAGCAATGCACGTTTGTTTGGAAGACTTCCAAGATACTGCTCCTCCACCAACAGTAAAAACATATCCACTTGTGGACTTTGTTTCTGATGAGCCGGTTATCCAATTAGCATCACTATATCCTTCGATAACCGCAGGATATTTATTGTAGTGCAAAGCATAGTCTTGGGTATATTTCAAATATCCCAGAACTCGTTTCATTGCTGCCCAGTGATGTTTGTTGGGATTACTTGTGAATCGACTAAGTTTACTTATCGCACAAGCTATATCAGGTCATGTACAGTTCATGATGTACATTAAGCTTCCCAACACACGAGCATACTCCAATTGAGACGTACTTTCACCTTTATTCTTTATGAGATGATGATTTAAGTCAATTGGAGTTCTTGCACTTCTAAATTCCAAGTGTTTGAATTTTTCAAGTACCATTTTCACGTAATGTGATTGAGACAAAGCTAGACCTTGAGGAGTCCTCTGGATTTTAATTCCTAGAATTACATCGGCAACTCCTAAGTCTTTCATATCAAACTTACTAGCAAGCATGCGCTTAGTAGCTTGAATGTCGGCAATGTCTTTGCTCATTATTAGCATATCATCAACATATAAGCAAACAATGACTATATGATTTGGAACGTTCTTAATGTAAACACATTTATCACATTCATTAATCTTAAAACCATTTGACAACATTGTTTGGTCAAATTTCGCATGCCATTGTTTGGGTGCTTGTTTTAGTCCATAAAGAGACTTAACAAGTCTACACACCTTCTTTTCTTTTCCCGGAACCACAAACCCTTCAGGTTGGTTCATGTAAATTTCTTCCTCAAGATCACCATTTAATAAGGTTGTTTTTACATCCATTTGATGGATTTGAAGACCATACAAGGCGGCTAACGCTATTAGCATCAGAATGGATGTAATTCTTGTTACCGGCGAGTATGTGTCAAAATAGTCAAGACCTTCTCGTTGTCTAAATCCTTTGACAACAAGTCTTGCCTTGTATTTGTCAATAGTCCCATCGTCTTTCATTTTCTTCTTGAAAATCCATTTAGAACCCAACGTTTTGTTACCTGGAAGAAGATCAACCAATTCCCAAGTATGGTTGCTCAATATGGATTCTATTTCACTATTGACAGCTTCTTTTCAATTTGGAAGAAGATTTTCTGGCTGGAGATGTGATTGTCTTATGAATTCAATTCCATACCTTTTTCCTATTATAGGTCCTTTTCTATGTTTACTCTTTATCAAACCTCCTTTTTGGTTTATTGTTATTAGTACTTTCTCTCTCTCTTTATTTTCCCACGAAGCAGGCATTGGAAAAGACTTCTTTATCTAGAGCATGTATTCCAAGCATGAAAATGACTATCTCCTAAAGTTTATTAACAAAACAAGAAATTGTATCATGTGATTCCGCACCAGCTATAATTAATTTACTACTAATTATATTTTGTCTTTTTGTATTTTCTTGTCAATTTGTGAAAGCAACCATGCTTATATACTTCCATGTTAATTGATTTTCATATCAAATCTTTTTTTTTTCTCTTTGAAGATTCCCTTTATATTTTATATTTTCACCAAAGAAGTATTTTTTTTTGGTGGAGGTAAAAATAAAAAAATAAGGTAATTTCCTTTTTCTTCTTCCTTGTTAAATTGGATTTCTTGCAGACAAGTTAAAGTTCATTAGGAGCACTGGAAATACGTTAAAAATGAAAAACCTTTGAAGTTATTGGAAAAATTACTAAACTAAGAAAGAAAAAAATTATAGCAATTCTTTATTTTACATTAACATGTTCCCTTTATCCCACTTTATGTGATACTTTCGGCTTTTCGAGATTCAAACCTTTTAATTTTAACCATGCATAGAAACATGTTATCTTTTAATTTTTGGAAATAAAATTTACATATTTAAAAATAAAGTATTAAAAGTAACAATAATTAATAATTTAAAATATTTAAAAGGCATATAAAAATTTAAGATAAAAGTATAATTGGTTTGGCTTTCGAAATTCAAACTCATTCACAGGATGGATGGTGCGGAATACAAAAATAATTACTATTTAAAAAAAAATCACTGACATCAGCATTTCTTGATATGGAAAAATTACTGTATAAAATATTTCAAAATGACACAGGTATTAAATGCCTTGAGCAACTGATAAAAACAAAAATTTAAAATTCAAAACCAACAAACATGTTTTCTACATTTATGACAAAACGTACTACTGCTAGACAGATTACAGTAGTCCTCTCTTATTTTGACTGTCATTTTACTAAAAAAGAATTCACAAAAATGAATACCACCCAAATCCTTAGACTCTCAAAACCTTTTGTTCATCCCTCAAATGGAAAATCAAAACCTTATGTGACTACATTTATTATTTGAAACATCAAAAGTTTAATTTTTAACCATATACTATACTACATATATTTATATTTTAGTTATAATTCTTTTAAATAACTTATAGGGTACTTCTTTTGTAATTTCTAATAGCCTCTTTGGCCAATCTTCTAAAATCAGTTTATTTTGATTTTAGAATATTTTTTTTTAAAAGCACTTTTTTAAAAAGTACTTTAGGTGAGAAGCAGTTTGTATTGATTAATTAATTTAAAAAGTACTTTTGAGCAGCAATTAGTGTTTGGCCAAACTGTAAAAAAGTGCTTCTAAGTGTATTTTTTCTTAAAACTGATTTTCAAAAAAGTATTTTATGAAAGAAGCTACTTTTTTCTGCTTCTCCTTCACCAAACTCTTTCACTTTGAAAAAAAACTACATTTTTGAAAAAAAAAAGAAGCTTGACCAAAAAGCTATAATTCCTAGATAATTCAAAATTATGGTCTTCCCAATTTTCCATGCTGTCTAGTTACCGGTTACTTGTTACCCCAGTTACCAAGATTCAAATAAAATTCTTGTAGTTTTCTTCTTTCTGCATTTTATAATCATCCCTACACCAGTAGTTATCAGTCACACACTGCTATATCTTCTTAACAATAGCCATCACTACTTTCTTGATTTTTGTCACCAAAACAACATCCCCACAAAACTCTCTCCACCATTTTCTTGCAAAACTAAACATGGGTTCTCTCTCTTTTCTCTCCCCCATTTTTCTCTTCATCTTAATCCTAGCATACCCACAACAAAGAGTTTTTTCTGAACCCATTGTTACTAAAACTCCTTTATCTTTACTAATGAGTATTAAAGCTTCTTTAGACCCAAAAAATCTCATTCTTTCATCATGGTCAGCTAATGCTACTGACCCATGCAGTGGTTCTTTTGAAGGTATAGCTTGTAATGAGCTTGGTCAAGTTGTTAACATTTCTTTGCAAGGCAAAGATCTTAGTGGGAAAATACCACCTGAGATTGGTCAGCTTCAAAGCTTGTCTGGGTTGTACTTGCACTTCAACAAGCTACATGGGGTTGTACCTAAAGAAATTGCTAACTTGACTCAGCTCTCAGATTTGTATCTCAATGTGAATAATCTCTCTGGTGTTATTCCTACTGAGGTTGGAAATATGTCCAATCTTCAAGGTTAGGTTCATTTTTACTTTTGTTGCTGAAAAAAGTTGCTGCCTTTGCTGTTTTTTGGGACAAGTTATGGTAAAAAGCCGTAGTCTTGATGCCTGATATTGACTTATTTTGAATGAATATTTGAACCTTGCAAAATAGATCTATAACTCTCTTAATGAAATGGGTAGCTAGCTCAAGAAGTTTAGTACTCATTAATCATTATAAGGCTGAATGAGAGAGGTTTGTATCTTTGATGAGGTGATTTTTGTTCTTATGTAGCTTTCAGTTAGGGTGATTAGAGTATGAAACACTTGAAAAAGCCTCTATCTTTGGTTTGTTTAGATTTTCTCTGTTATTAATCCCTTTTCCTATTGCTTTGAGCTTCAATATGGACTAATGTTTGAATAAAGTTCCAAACATGCTACCAAACTTGCTAATTTCTTGTCACTCGGTTAGGTTAGTCCTTTTAAACAAAGTTATTGAGGCTCCAGTTCATTTTTCTTGGTACAGTGTTGCAACTATGCTATAACCAGTTGACTGGAAGCGTACCCAATCAAATCGGGGCTCTGAAGAAGCTCAGTGTTCTTGCTTTGCAAGTCAATCAGTTAGCTGGAGCAATTCCTGCAAGCTTGGGTGACTTGGAGATGTTAACCAGACTTGACTTGAGCTTCAATAATTTCTTCGGGTCGATTCCAGTAAAACTGGCTAATGCTCCTAAGCTAGAAGTTCTTGATATCAGAAATAATACCCTCTCTGGCAATGTCCCTCTAGGTAATTCAATGATTTGCTTAATAGTATCTTTATCTTTATTTCATGTTTAAGATGCTTCATAAAATGCTGCAATTTATATTTCCCCCCAGATATGCATCCCACTGTTTACTATTAGAAAGGAAAGCTAACTCTCTTTTTGTTTTGGTCTTTGTGGTTTGGGCAAATGGATGAAATGAAGCCTTAAAGAGACTGAATGAAGGATTTCAGTACGCGAACAACCCGGATTTATGTGGAATTGAATTTTCTTCATTGAAACTTTGCACTCTTTCTGGTCTAAACCAAAATAGACCACAACCATTTCAGCCTGGTTCAAATAGTCTCCCGACAAAAGACATCCCAGAGTCTGCAAATGTGCAAGCAAAACAAATGAGTCAGTCTAGAAAATCACAAACTGCTGTGGTTGTTGGTGTTATTGCACTTTTTGTTGCAGTAGCAGTAACTGGGCTTTTCACATTCTCATGGTACCGCCGTAGGAAACAGAAAATTGGAGGTACTCTTGATTCTTCTGATAGGCGACTCAGTACTGATGAGGTGAAGGAGGTCTCTAGAAGAAGCGCGTCACCCCTAATCAGCTTGGAGTATTCCAATGGCTGGGATCCTTTGGGCAAAGGTCGAGGTGGAAGTGCTTTCTCTCAGGAAGTATTTGAGAGCTTGATGTTCAATTTGGATGAAGTTGAGTCTGCTACACAGTATTTTTCAGAGGCAAATTTGTTAGGCAAGAGTAATTTCACAGCCGTTTATAAAGGGACACTGAGGGATGGGTCTTCTGTTGCTATTAAGTGCATTTCAAAGACTAGCTGCAAGTCTGATGAAACTGAATTTCTCAAGGGACTAAAGCTCTTAACTTCATTGAAACATGAAAATCTTCTGAGGTTGAGAGGCTTTTGCTGTTCAAAAGGTAGGGGAGAGTGCTTTCTGATCTACGATTTCGTCCCCAATGGAAATTTGTTGCAGTACCTTGACGTGAAGGATGGAAAAGGAAAGGTCCTCGATTGGTCTACCAGACTTCACATAATCAAAGGCGTTGCCAGAGGTGAGCTACTGTTTGATTATTGTCTCATGTTTTTGTTGTAGCTCTTTCTCAACTGCTCCATCAGATCTTAGCTATATGAGAAACTTCATGTACTGATAACAGATGGTTTACATCTGAAGTGATAGAATGAACAGAAACTAATGTTTTTGTTGTATCTGCCAACATTCAAGATCCACTGAAGTTAGAAATGATCGAGTGTCAAATAGAACTGCTAATTACTCCTATAATATGTTGTGAGCTTTAATCCGGAAAAAGATAGTCCATATTAGTGGGTACATTAATATCCTGGACAGCAAAGGAAATCCTAGTGGTGATGTAGATAATACCCTACCAAGCATGTTGTTTGAGCTGTGTTCCCTCCTAAAGTCTTTCTATAGGTTTTGGTAGCATAGTCTTTTCGCCTATACATCTCGTGGTTAATACTTTTTCTTGCTCCTGATATTCATATACAACAAACTAATTTCTGTTGTTTAACAGGTATCCAGTATTTGCATGGAAACAAGGGAAACAAACCTGCTCTAGCCCATAGAAATATATCAGCTGAAAAAGTACTCATTGATCAGCGCTACAACCCATTGCTCTCAGATTCTGGTCTGCCCAAACTACTAGCAGATGACATTGTGTTCTCTACACTCAAGGAAAGTGCTGCAATGGGCTACCTAGCTCCAGAGTATACAACCACTGGCAGGTTTACTGAAAAGAGTGATCTTTACGCGTTTGGTGTGATTATATTTCAGATTCTCTCTGGAAAGCGCAGAATCACCCAATCGAACCATCAAGGGGCAGAGTTGTGCAGATACGAAGACTTCATTGATCCAAAACTTGGGGGCAACTTTGTAGAAGCTGAGGCAGTCCAGATGGCAAAGGTTGCTTTACTTTGCACTCACGAGTCACCAAATCAGAGGCCAAACATTGAAATTGTCATGCAAGAACTGAATGATCTAATCTCCAGCACGTCGTGAATGCTAGAGCAACGCCAAAATTCTCAAATGACCATTAGGAGCCTGATACTAACTGCTTATTGATGCACATCAGTGTTGATTGCCTGTTCCATATAGGTTAGTACTAATGCACCTGGACAGGGATAACCTCAGGACATCAGTTCTCTTGTATTTTGTAACTTAACCATGATTCTAAGCAAGTTTTCTCTACTTGCAAACTTAGTGTATCTGAACTGCTATCTCTATTTATCATTAACTGCTGGCAATCAGAACTGACCTCTTTGTTATAGTAGTACTTTTCCATAGTATAGTCTTTTAACCAGAGATCATTTCTCTATTTACTAATGATCGAATTAGACGAGTTCGTGCAGACAGGTTGTTTAGCCTGTTTTGCCTTTAAGAATTATAATAAGAGATCATGAAAATGTATGCAATGTACTTCAAGAAAACAGTAACTCTACTTCTGCAGTATCTTAAAAAGGAAAAAAAGAGGAAAAAGGAGTAAAAGAAAACAAAGAGAGAAGATAATGAAATAGAGTATCCTAGGCTATATAAATTTTGGACATTTGTCAATTTGAGCACTACAAATTGATAAAAGTGAATGGTCCAACTTACTCTCCAGAATATGATGTAACCCAAATAAAGATGCAAAACAACCCCTTACTCAGCTAAGTTACAAATTCTTCCAATCCCAACATGTGATCTTCTGACATTTGATTCCAACACCAGAAATTCCAAACAAGTAAATAAGTATAAAATTTTGGCTGGAACCAACCAGGACATAATGCTCCCTCCCATCCTGCAGCAAAAATTGACTCTTCTTTATGTCCAGACTTATTATTTTACTTCATCTTCCAAGAATACATGCTGACCTTAGGACAAGGGTGAAGTTCACAAACTTGATCATGTGTTTTTCATTCTTTACAAAAAAGAATGTGGAAATGACACGTGTTCAGTTTGGATTCAACTTATATATAAGCTGACGATGTAAAATTTCGTTTACGCTATCTGTATATTAGATGACCTGATAGTGTAAAATTATTTTGTGTCGTTAATGTATAGAACTTAAGCTCATTCAGTTTTTTAAGAAAACTAGGTTCTCGTGATCAGAGAAGCTACTTTATGGCTTCGACCACTTTCTACTCTGTGTTGCCTGTGAATATTTTTTGTCTTTGGCAAAGTTGTCATCCTTCTCCTGCCTCCACTCTAGTCACACTGTAGGGGGTCCCTATTCTTCTACAGCATCTAGCTCCTTTAGTTAATTCATGTAATTTTTTATTGCTGAAATTGTAGTAGTATGATTTTATCACAATGTGCTAAAATAATTCTTGGGAGGAGGAACCTATGGTGGCTAAGGGGCTAAGGCAATTTCAGAGTTATAGGAATAGTATGACTTTCTGTAGTAGGCTAATAGCCTGTTTGGCCAAGCTTTTTTTTGGGCAAAAGTGCTTTTTTTTTTGACCAAAAGCACTTTTGGCCAAAAATTGAGGTGTTTGGCCAAGCTTTTGGAAGGAAAAAAAGTGCTTCTGAGAAGAAGCAGAAGCAGTTTTGGAGAAGCAGAAAAAAATAGTTCTATCCAAAAGCACTTTTTTGAGAAGCACTTTTGAGAAAAATACACTTAGATGCAATTTTTTAAAGCTTGGCCAAACACTAATTGCTGCTCAAAAGTGCCTTTCAAACTAATTAGCCAAACACAAACTGCTTCTCACCAAAAGTACTTTTGAGAAAAGCACTTTTGAAAAAAATACTTCTCAAAATAAACTGATTTTTGCAGCTTGGCCAAACGGGCTATAACTCTAGTTTCCTACTCTAACTGAAAGCATGGAATGGGGAGGCCATTGGTTACACATGTTCTACCCCGGGGTCATTTTGACAAACCCACTTAACTGAAAAACAGTACTGATCCTTGTCAAACAGGTTCCAACTTGTGCTGTTGATGGCCTAATTTTGAAGAGGTCGTGAAATTCTAAACCTTGGTAAGTTTCCAACTCAACGATTCACAGATTGTCAGAATCTAACACAGTAAATTCGAATTTTGTGAACTCAATTGGAAAACACAGTGTTTTTGGGACAATTTTCTGGATTTTCTATTAACTGAAAAAACGGAACTAAAGGATTACAATTGCAGAAAATGAAATGAAACTAAGTTGAAGCTACTCTACGATATTGCCATTGGAATGCAACCTGCAGAAATAGAGTAACAAGGAATTAGAGAAGAAGAAGATAGGAGAAGAAGGAGAAGAATTTAGGAGAGAATTCAGAAGGAAGAGAGTACCAGATAATTCGCTGCCTTCTCTCTCCTGTTTGTTAGCATTTAACCGTGAAGTTGATGCTTGGATTTGAGCTGACGTGGCTAAATCTGGGCCCTTGCGACTCATTTATTCTCTTCTAATCTCAGCCGTCCATTCTAGTAATCTCTGAATTAGGCTAATTTAAGGGTCATGGTCATGACATACCCTTCCCCTTAAATTAATCCTTGACCTCAAGGATTAAAATCAAAACCTGGGAACTTTTTCTTGAGAAAATCATAATCTTCCCAAGAAGCATCTTCAGGAGGTAAGTTGGACCATTGAACAAGGACCTTAACAGCAGCAGTGTTACCTCTTCGAATCAGTTGTCTTTGCAAAATGGCCACTGGTTTAACTAAGAATTGTCCTTCTTCGTTAGTAGTAGGAAGAGTAGTTTGTACAACCACTTTGGTTCCTACTTTTTTCTTGAGCAAGGAAACATGGAATACTGGATGAACCTTGGAGTCCGGTGGGAGCAATAGTTTGTAAGCAACCTGACCAATGCGACTGATGACTTGAAAAGGACCATAGTACTTGGAGCTGAGCTTCAAATTCTTTCTCAATGCAATGGATGTTTGTCTATAAGGTTGTAGCTTCAAATATACCACATCTCCAACTTGGAATTATCTTTCAGTTCTCCTTTGATCAGCAAATTGTTTCATTCTTTCCTGAGCTTGAAGGAGGTTATCTTTAAGTAGCTGTTGCATTTGCTGTCTCTTCATGACAACATCTTCAGCAACATGGATCATGGTCTCAAGCAAAGGGCCCATGGAGAGTTGTGGAGGAACATACCCATACAGGGCCTCAAACGGAGTACATTGTAAGCCAGAATGGTAGTTCGTGTTATACCACCATTCAGCAAAGTGCAACCATTGTTTCCAGTGTGTAGGTCTGTGGCTTGTCATGCACCTGAGATAGCTTTCAATACACCTGTTGACCCTCTCCGTTTGGCCATCAGTTTGAGGGTGGTAGGCTGTGCTGTACAAGAGTTGCACACCTTTGAGTTTAAACAAAGCTTGCCAGAAATTACTCAAGAAGATCCTGTCCCTATCTGATACAATGGTTTCAGGTGTACCATGCAGTGTATGGACTCTTTTCCAAAACTTCTCAGCAACAACCACAGCAGTAAAGGGATGAGCTAAAGCTATAAAGTGAGCAGACTTTGTCATCCTGTCAACTACCACTAGTATAGCATCTTTGCCCTTAGACTTAGGCAATCCTTCAATAAAGTCCATGCTGATGTGCTTCCAAGCCTGATCAGGAATGGGAAGAGGTTGAAGTAGCCCAGGGTAAGCTATATTTTCATCCTTGTTCCTCTGGCATATATCACACTCAACAACAAATTGAACGACCATTTGTTTCATCAATGGCCAGTAGAAGTGTTGTGATAGTCTCTTAAGTGTTCCCAACTGTCCTGAGTGACCTCCAAACGTGGAATCATGAAATGTTATGATCAACTGTTGTCTCAAGCCCCATGTGTGCCCACATACACTTTTCCCTTCCTCCTTAATACTCCGGAATTGTAATGCCACAAATTTGGGCCCTGTACATCTACAGAAAGTTGAGTAATCAAATCAGCAGCTAAGGCATCATCTTCATAGCTTGCATTGACCTCTTGTACCCATAATGGAACTGCAACACTGATAACCTGCAGTTGAGACTCAACAACTGGAGTGTTGGCATCTGATGTTTCCTCTTGTTGCCTGGATAAAGCATCTGCTACCCTATTCTCAACCCCTTTCTTATATTGAACTTCATAGTCTAACTCCAGTAATTTAGTAAGTCCCTTCTGTTGTATTGCCAATGTTGACCTTTTGTTCCTAACAAGTAACTTCTAAACTATGATGGTCATTTTTTACCTACAAAGTGCTTATATTGTAAGTAATGCCTCCATTTGTCTATGGCACTCAACAGTGCCATGTATTCCTTCTCATATATGGATTTACCCTGGTGCCTTTGTGCCAAAACCTTGCTAAAATAGGCTATAGTCTACCTTTCTGCATAAGGACAGCTCCTATACCAGAGTAGCATGCATCAGTTTCCACAACAAACTCTTGGTTGTAGTCTGGCAAAGTTAATACTGGGGTAGTGGACATAGCTTCCTTGAGTGCTATGAATGCTTGCTCAGCTTCCTCATTCCACCTGAAGGAATCTTTCTTTAATAAGTCAGATAATGGTTTGCAGATACTCCCATAACGAGCTACAAATTTTCTGTAATAACCTGTAAGACCTAGGAATCCCTTTAGGGCCCTGATGGTAGTAGGTCTAGGCCAGTTGACCATTGGCTGAACCTTCTCAGGGTCAGTGGATACACCTTCAGCAGTGATAACATGCCCAAGATATTCCACCTTGAGTTGTCCAAATGAGCACTTGCTCTTTTTAGCAAACAAGGAGTGTACTGACAATGTCTTAAAAACCACTTCCAAATGTTCCACATGTTCCTTCAACGACTGATAAATTAATATGTCATCAAAGAAGACTAGCACGAATCTTCTCAAGTAAGGCTGAAATACCTGATTCATAAGAGCCTGAAATGTAGCAGGAGCATTGGTTAGCCCAAAGGGCATAACTCTAAATTTATAATGGCCCACATAAGTCCTGAATGCTGTCTTAGACACATCCTCTGCCTTCATCCTGATTTGGTGGTATCCAGCTCGTAAGTCAATTTTGGAGAAAACAACAGCCCCATACAGTTCATCCAAAAGGTCATCCACAATGGGGATGGGATACTTATCTTTAATGGTGATGTCATTAAGTCCCCTGTAATCAACACAAAACCTCCAAGTGCCGTCCTTCTTTTTAACTAGCAAGGCTGGAGAAGAGAAGGGTGACTGACTATGCTGGATAATTGGTCAACATTTCTGTCACTTGTCTCTCTAACTCTCCTTTCTGAAAATAATTGTATCTATAAGGCCTCAGACTAACTGGAGAAGTCCCTGGTTTCAGGGGAAATGAATTGTCTAAAGATCTAACAGGAGGTAAGGATTTTGGTTCTGTAAAA